GGCGCTCATGGGTCGTGGGATCTTACTTTTACTGCCTGACGAAGAGGACAGAGAAAGAGGGTCTTCCCCTCCGCAGTCCGACCTGGAGCCTCGCTCCGAGGAGAGGCGTTCCCGCGGGAGAGTGACCTGCAGGTTTTCGCAGGAAAGTGATGGAGAAGGGGAGTGGGTGGGGGAGCCGGGGACAGGGCTGCTCCAGCGGTTTCTCCTGTCCCGGTGCAGGCTCCTGCCCGGAGAGTCCGGGGGAGTGCAAGAGTCTCGTATTGGAATGCGACTCAGTTTGGGCGAGCAGGGAGAGTCTTTGGGCCTTAAAGAAGCGAGGAGCGAACAGATCGCTTGAGCCTGCTGGTTCAGCTCCGATGAGCAGTCAGGCAGACCAGAATCACTCTCGGGGTCTTTTGTCAAGAGAGCGGTCGAACCTTTTAGTGGGCTCGACGACGGGGCCAAATCCGTCTTCTTGCCATCTTTTAGGATTTGTCCGGGGGGTTCATCGGATTTGCTGGACGGGGCTTCAAGAGGTATGGTGTCACTCTTTTCGAGCGCAGGAGACTGCGGTGTGCAGCTGGAAGACTGAAAACAACTTTGTGATTAGGGGCATGAATGAAAGGATTATGCAGAACAACAGCAACAGTACCAATTGAATATTAAGGGGAAGAACTACAAATATTGATGGAAAAATAGGAGGCCGCCAAATGGCACTAAAGCAGCAGTCTTGTATTTCTTTTTACTCGCTTTGTTTTGAAGTTAAAAAGGAAGCCAAGTCAAATTTTTTCTTTTGCACATTTTTGGATAAAAACAAAATTTGTTTTCGTCACAAGTGCAAGTGAGTCCAAGCAATTCTAGAAATTATGCTTGTATTCTTTCTGAAAAGTGGTCTGAAAAATAATTGGTGGGGAAGATGCTTGATCTTGCCTACCTGATCCATGTGGGGTCGTCCCATGATGACCGAGGGCATTTGCCCCAGCATCCCTGGCAGCCTCCTGTGGCCAAGTAACCACGACCCGACAGAACACTGTGACACAACAGGACTGGCTGCTACAACGGGGCCTTCCTGCGGCGGGTGATTCTCGTTGTTGACGGCGTTCGTCGTGGCTGTTTTGTCCTCGTGCTGGGCTTCAGTTGAAGGCTTGTTGGCTTGCTCCAGCTCCAGTACCACCCACTCCTGGGAGTCTCCCTCTTGGACCACAGGACTGATGTTGACTGCGACAAAACCGCTGCTGACCGCACCTTCCTCCGGGTCAGCTGTACCCGCGCCGGAATGATCGTCGGACAAGACTTTCTCCCCGATGTGAGAAAGGACAGGAGGCGTTTTGCCCCGACTAAAAT